CCTGTAGACATAACATGTAATGGAATATACACATCATTGCAGACAAAATAAGCTAACTGGAGTTATCTCCCTTCAACTGGATGGCTTCAAGCTCCTTCCAAGCGCGTGACACCTTCATCACACTCTCGGTAACATCGCTGCCACCAGTGTGGGCGCGGCCATTACAAGAATCTTGAAATTTGCCCTCTAACCCCAAATGTAGTAACGTTTATACTTTTGTTTATGTCTTTGGGAATGCCATCACATTTCAATTTGAAAAGGTTTACGACTGACCATGTTTTCCAGATGAATTTACTTTGTTGTTTTGATAATCAGATTGGTTCGAGATTGCAGACTAACGGAAAACCAACCAACTTCTCCCTTACATTCTTACTATATCAATAACACGATAGTTTTAATGAAACAGAAATTCAAATTGACAAACGAAGAAAGTAATTTAGCAGCTATAAGTGTATTCGGCGTCACGACAGTCGTCACTTGTTTGTAAACATAATGGTCATTCGGTTGCGAGTTCAACTCCAAGCATGGTTGTGGCCACCTATTCACAGTGGGAAGTTTTGACTGGTGGCAGCGATAGTATAGAGAGCTCCGGGAACGAACTATCGCTGTGAGGAGCTTGGGATGGCTTCCGAACACTACTTGGCAAACAACACATTAAGGGTTGGATGTTTGTGTTGGGATGGACGGATATAAGGTAATAAATATGGACAAAGCTTGGTAATATACAAAATCTAGTCTAACAGCCAATTTTTAGTATGGAACATGAATTATTTTCCCTCTATACCTAAAGTAGAGTATTATCAGAAGCAAACATAGCTTGTTACTAAGTATGTTTTATCACTACAGTCTAACAGTTTTTCATGATGAAAACAGATTATTGATACAATATCATTTTTCACACACATAAAAGTACCGGTATGAACATAATATGATACAATACACGATCAATAAAAGAAAATAAGGAAAACAGAACTGAATAAATATATTTTCTGCAATTATGAGGAATATCCTGAAGTTGAGATAAATATAAACAGAGCAAAAAACATCAGATGTAACTTGTCTGGAGAGTTCTAAAACAAGTTTTCATTTTCAATATCTCAAGATCTTGAATAGATTGATATACAAGTTGAATGTGTACACAACATAAATAACCTTAATACAATGTACAGCTGGCCTCATTTAGGGTGATATTAGATCAATGATATACATACTTTTTCCATGAGCTTTAATTCCTAGCGTAGTTTCCCCCTTGTCGATGAAATGGGTCATTGGATGTTATTTTTATAAACAAAAAGAAACATTTATGTTAATTTGTTCAGTAAAATTACTTGTTACTCTCTCAACCATACAAGCTCCCGAAGTATCCATTCAATCTGATACCAACAAAACAATATATGTTCGGAATTAGAAATTCCAAATTCACTGTGATATATTTCCATTTAATCTTTTTTCAATACTGGCATCTTTTGACTAAAATTAGAAATAGAAATTCCATATTCTCTATGATATATATATATATATTGAATACTGGCATCTATGACTAATTCATTTACATATCAATTTGTTTATGTTTACTTCATGCTATTATGCAGTACCCCGATGAAAGACGGCTGACACCTGGAACTCATTTACACATTATGCAACATACATGTATGTGAATATCTATGTATATAACACAATAATAAATGAAGCAAAGATGAGAAAAACATGACTTCTAAAATCTCACATTATCACACACATTTGACTATTTCATTTGTTTATATTTTAAGGTGCTAGATCAGAATTTAGTTGGTGGTCTGTAAATAATCAAGTCGGGACCAGACAATCTAGTGATTGAAATCATGAGCATCGATCTACACAACTGGGATATTATCAAATAAGCCAGCAAGCCTGTCCACCCGATCCTGTTAGTTGCCTATTACAACAAGCAAGGGTTGATGAAGATCAGTTCTAACCAGGATCTTCAAGAATGAGGGCGGATGGGTTCAGTATTGTGTGTAGAAAATAGGACTTCCATATCAGAGTATGAAATGACAACTAAAGACATCAACGAGTTGAAGGAAGATCTTGCACCATAACTTAAAAACATCCAGAAGATCATTTATCATCCCAAACAGGCTTCCACTGGAGATGTCGATTGGGTGATTGCATCACAGTGGGCTACATACCATTATGACATCATCAATAATCGTGACATCACAATCAAATGACATCACTAATCTCTCTGCCACTGAAGCTAGTCAGCTCTACTTTTTCCACTCAAGACACTGGCTATTACTGTTTACAAACTGAAAGAATTGGAAGAATGATTTTGGATGATAATTAGAATCTCACCCTCGTGTTGTGTAATATCAAATATATCAACACCATCGATAAAAATTAAAATCTTTTCTGCAAACCTCAGAGTTTTAAACTTTTATCGACTTGTGCTGATATATTTGATATGTAAAGACACTTGTGGGGAGATCCTCTATTTCTCTTTCGACATGTTCCCCATTTAGTTTGGACATTGTTGATTCCAAGTAAGTTGGAAATGCTAGCATCTAAACCTGAGGACTGAACCATTGTACAATACCCCTTAATAAAAATCATCCACACGAAAAGTATTTTTGACATCATAGGTAGATCCAGAGGGGAGGGGAGGGGTGGGTTTGGGTCCAGGGGGTCCGGACACCCCCACCCCCCTTATGAAAACCAAATGTAGTAGGCTGTAGGCAGTAAAATTATCTAGAGAGAGGATTTTGATATTTTGGACCCCTCCCTTTAAAAAATTCTAGATCCACCCTTGGACATGACTTTCTAAATATATGATACTGCTGATGATTGACTTCAGGGCAATCGTACAAAAAATGATAAATTCTTAAAGATGAAAAACAATCGGCTGCAGTAACAAATCTTTCAAATAAAAACATAAAACATAATTTGATATGTCGATAATTCTTTTCCAATAATGTACCATTAATATATTCAAATGCTCTTAAGGTCATTGATAAATATCTACATACAAGTATTACCAGTAAGTATAGGGCTATAACAAAGCAGACTATTATGGCTGTATAAAAGTGTGGGGAACTGAAAGACTTGACCAAGACATGCATCTTTGCATTTCCCTTCCAACATATGTACAAACAGTTCATACTGATGGCAAGGGTATGTTTTAATGAAAGCATCTCTGGAGAACACATGTGCCTATTATTTTTGTTTCTATTTTTTATTTATTCAGTACTTGTTAGGCACAGGCCTTAACAAACGTAATGGTATTGTACAGTCATTATGCTAGCTGCATGTGTCTAACACCAGTACAAATTTTGCTTTTGTTTTGTACAAAAAAGAGAGTTTTATCTTGTTTTACAAATAAGTCAGACGAAAACAATTCATTGAGTTTACCTACAATTTACTCTTCTCTTTGTCTTCAAGCATTTTTTTTTAAAAACATATAAAACACATACATAGTGAAGAAATCCAAAATGGCATCCATACAATATATGGATGTACAAAAACATTTCAGCAATCCCTTGGAGTTCATTGTGACCATTTACTGCTTGAAATGAATTGTTTTGTTTTTGTTTGTGCTTTAAGACCGCACTCAACAATATTCAAGCTTTATGATTGCTGTCTGTAAATAATTCAGTCTGGACCTGACGATCCAGTGATTGACATCATGAGCATAAATCCACGAAAATTGGGAAAGGATGATAGCATCAACCAAGTCAGCGAGCCTGACCACCTAAACCACGTAGTCGCCTCTTACAACAAGCAATGGTTGCTGGGAGCCTGTGGGTGGGACTTGGAAATTATTCGGTTACCAACATTTAGTTTATGACTAGCATTTAAGTTAGTTTGCGACTAGCCCTAATCAATCTATACCACTTTTAATAAATACCATTATGGAGTGCGGTATGTCAGCCACTTTCTGCTATATTCCAAAATTCCAGCAATATTTCAGCAAGGGACACCAAGAAAGGAGGACACACACTGTCTATGTCAGGAATTAAACCCAGCTCCTTGGATTGATGAGCTAATGTATTTTCCACTGGGCTACCGCATCATACCAAAAGATGGAGTGATTATTGTTTAACACCGCATCAGCATAGTACTTGTTGTTACCCTGCCTGGTGCTCAGCAAAATGGGGATAAAACAAGTTTACTGTGACTAAGTGGGATCCATGAATAACTGCGGCATGGTATGTATGTAAGGGGGATAGCACCATAAAACTGGCATTAGTCTGGGCAAGAACACGCCCACACGCATACTCGCAAAGTAGTTATGTGCAATAATCTTGAAGACAATAGCGTTATGCCACATTTCACTTCACCTCACTATACAGGCAATAATTACTACCCGGAAACAGTTCCATAGAATATTTGACAGAATGCTTTTTCAACATGAGACCCTTAATTCTAACCTTTAGGGGGAGACTCATTGTCCTACTGCAAGGTTTGTTTGTTTGTTTGTTTGTTTGTTGGTTGGTTTTTGTTTAACGCCGCACTCAGCGATATGCCAGCTATATGCCGGCGGTCTGTAAGTAATCGAGTCTGGACCAGACAATCCAGTGATTAATATCATGAGCATCGATCCATACAATTTGGATATGATGACATGCATCAACCAAGTCAGCAAGCCTACTGCAAGGAAAGCAATGATGTGTATACATGCAGATGGTTTGATTATCAATCAATCAATGTGTGTTGCTTATAAATTCTGACTTATATATATATATATACCACTCAACCTTTGATAGGGGTATTCCTATTCAATCTTATTTAATCAGAATACCAAAACAGCCACAGTCCTACAGTACAACATGCTTTGAATATTACAACCAGGTGAGTGAGTGAGTGAGTTGGGTTTAATGCCGCTTTTAAGAGTATTCCAGTTATATCTCGGCGTGTCAGCTTAAAGTGGGAGGAAAGCCTGAAGTGATGCAGGTCAGGGACGTTTACCACTTCGGTGAAACCCACAAGCATGGGTATGGTGCTGACAAACCTAGAAACATAATCCCTGTGAACCGGGATTCGAGCCCACAATCATCATGATCATAGGTTTCTGGCGTGCCCAAGGGACGCAACTCTGCACAGCAAATCGCAGCGCCTTAGAAAACTGTGCCACCCGTGCCCCTTATTACAGCCAGGGACATCACTGTGATACCATGGTTCACTAATCTGATTACTTGGAACATGTGAGTGAGTGAGTGTGTTTTGGTTTTACACCGCTTTTAGCAATATTCCAGCAATATCATGGCAGGGGACACCAGAAATGGGCTTCACACATTGTACCAATGTCGGGAATCGAACCCGGATCTTCGGCGTGACGAGCGAACGCTTTAACCACTAGGCTACCCGACCGCCCTTGGAACATGTAAATAGCTTGCCATATCTAAGTGGTATAGATATTAGGAAGATATTGTGTACAAGGGAGACAGATCCCGTTCAACTGAATCACTGAATTTTGAAGTTCTGTATGTGATGGGATCTAGCATATAGTAATTCAGGATAGTTAACAGTAATGTTAATATGAGAAAACACAGAAATGTTTAAGAAAATACACAATAATCTTGATACTTCCACTCAAAATACTGTTATAATGGCATTTCTATGACTTCACTTCTCGTATATGACATCACTTCTGGGTCTTATGACACCACTGTGCTGACTTCATGTATTGTTTGACCTCCACTGCTCTATCAAAGCAAGCACTAACCCAATCTCAACCTGTGCATGATGTAAAATATTTAAAAGAATTTTTTCTATGAAAGCTGTGAATTCTTGACAAGCTACGAAAACTAAGATGCTTTAAAATGTTAAAACATGTTTTTCTAAAATGCTGTAAAATCTTGACAAACTGTCAAACCGGTAGGTGCTGAAATATGTTAAAAACCATGCCTTCCTAGAATATCGCCTTGGGCGCTTATTAGAGCGGGGGCGTATTACGTCGAATACGGTAATGTAATTCAGTGTTTACAAAGCCGTGTTTGCACAAGATGATGTGACAGTGGATTTTCCTGTGTAAATTGTACAATTCATTACAGGATTCATGACTATAGATACATTGCTGATGCTACATAAACTATTGACTCTGTCACACACTAAGGTTATCATAACACCCCTACTTAACATAGACCTCCGACTGTCGTAGCACTAAGACCGCTTTGTGGAACGTGGCCCAGACATGATTCAAACCAACGATCACAGGCTCCTGGCATTCTTAAGGGATACAACTCTGCGACACCTTAGACTAGACTATGATCTAGTTATGATCTTTGGTAAGTTTTGAGCTTTGCCATAAGCAAAGTGAGCACTAATCCTTTCTCAACCTGTGGTTGATGTAAAATATTAAAAACATTTTTTTTCTATGAAAGCTTTTAAATGTTGACATGCTACAAAACAAGAAGTTCCAATGGACCAAATATTTTGGGATAGTTGGAGAGACTACTGATGTAAGACAAGTAGTATTCTTAGAACTTTACACATTTACTGAAACTGTTGTGGTGCTGCTGTTCTGCTATAAAAATATACACCACAACACAATTCCACAAATGCATAGAATGTGTCACATGTACACATGACCATGAGTTAACCTTGTTGTTAATTATAACACAACCCTAGAGAAACTCCGCCCACTGTGATTGATGCAGACGCTCAACCACGACCGTTTAAATTTTTAAAGGATAAAAGCAATAAAAAAATATTAACTTATATCTAGATATGGATCCATTTGTGGTATCCAAGGTTTGTCAATCAAGTTGATACGAAGTTTGACAGTCTAAGGTGATATTGTTTTCAAATAGCTTCTCTCGACATACGGTTGTATTTACATTGCCAGTCACTGATCGAAATTGAAACACCGCCACCTTGAGGGCTATTTATAGTCAGGGTGGGGCTTTAAGATCCCCATACTAGTATTGCACCCGACCAATGATTGATTCATCATCCTGTGACCATAAATTGGGCACTCAATCAATGATTGATTCATACATACAGGCCCATTGGCCACCTCATCCTTGAATGAACAGTGTCATAATCTAAGTTTGCTACATAACAATCTTCTATCAGTGTCCCTTGATCTTTCACTTCATCCTGCAGGATGAGGATGAGGATCTTCATCTGCTTCAGGACCTTCTTCATCCTGCAGGATGAGGATCTTCATCCACTTCAGGACCTTCATCCGCTTCAGGACCTTCTTCATCCTGCAGGATGAGGATCTTCGTCCACTTTAGGACCTTCATCCGCTTCAGGACCTTCTTCACCCTGCAGGATGAGGATCTTCATCCACTTTAGGACCTTCATCCACTTCAGGATCTTCATCCGCTTCAGGACCTTCTTCATCCTGCAGGATGAGGATCATCCGCTTCAGGACCTTCATCAGCAGACAAGAGTCACAACACACATGGTGGCAATGCCTCCTATTAAACATAATACCTGCTTCACCGATTCCCTGAAACAGAAACAGGATTTAGCACCATTTGAAACTCAAAATTTACAACATTAATCTTAAAGGGGCTCTCTAAGCAATAACCATTGACTTTGGGGAAAGTTTGATATTTACCTCATCCTTATTTCAAACCACTCAAAGAGTCCCTTTAAGAAGATATAAAGTGGACTCAACCCTGCTAAGGTTCCTGCCTGGTATGAACACTATTACTGGCAGACAAAGCATGTTGAAGACATATTTGTGAATAGCTGGCATCTCACTCGCTCACCTTGGGAGGATCTAAATAATTTTGACAGGTAGTTTGCCTCCCACACAAGGCATGACCATCATGCACACCACACCTTCAGCAGTCATGTGTGTGTTATCCAAAGGGTTATAACAAAAAACTGTGAGTGAGTGAGTGAGTGAGTGAGTGAGTGAGTGAGTGAGTGAGTGATGCCGCTTTCTGCAATATTTCAGCAATATCACAGCGGGGGCACCAGAAATAGGCTTCACACATTGTACCCATGTCGGGAATCAAACCCAGGTCTTCGGCGTGACAAGCGAATGCTTTATCCACTAGGCTACCTTGAGGCCCCTGGTAGAAAAGAGATGCAAATGATTCTATCCATTACCATCCATGCTTCTCCTGTAGCAAATCAGGTACAACGGTTACCAAGGCGATGTATAGAAATCCTCCAGATGTGAATGGAAGAATCCATGCAGTTCTCTCCCCTGCACAACAAAGAATTATGAATAAATGCAAGTTTCAAGAATTTTGCTTTTTTCATGAATTGATTTTCAACTATTTATGCCATTATATTAAATCTTATTTTGAAAGAGATACACTGTTCTATTTATCTGTAGTGTTGAGAGACACAATGTTGACTATCTGCTATAATAACACAATGTTGACCATCTCTTGTAATGACACAATGTTAACTATCTGCTATAATAACTCAATGTTGACTATCTGCTTTAATAACACAATGTTGACTATCTGTTGAAATGACACAATGTTGACTATCACTGTCGTAATGACACAATGTTGAATATCTGCTTTAATAACATAATGTTGACTATCTCTGTTGTAGTGTAGTACATATTGACTACCTGTTATAATAACACAATGTTGACTATCTCTGTTGAAATCACACAATGTTGTAATAACACAACATACCTGCGGCCTGTGCTGAGTCTGACACAAGAGCTGTCACAGCTCCGATAACACCCCCTGTAGCTGTGATTAGCTGCAAAGACACATCAAACCCTCAGAAACTTATCCCAGTGAATATTGTTTACGAATGTTAAAGTTAGTGACTGAGTATGATATTATGCAACTTTTAGCAATATTCCAGCAATATCAGCAATATCAGGGCAGGTGATACCCAAAATGGGCTTCACATATTGTACCCATGATATATGCAATCAAACCTAGGTCTTCAGTGTTACAGTGAGCGAGTGAGTTTGGTTTACCGCCACTTTTATCAGTATTCCACTCATATCAGCTTGATGTGGGAAGAAAGTGAGTGAGTGAGTTTGGTTTTACGCCGCTTTTAGCAATATTCCAGCAATATCATGGCGGGGGACACCAGAAATGGGCTTCACATATTGTACCCATGTCCGGATTCGAACCCGGGTCTTCGGCGTGACGAGCGAACGCTTTAACCACTAGGCTACCCGACCACCCGTTGGAAGAAAGCCCGAAGTGATGCAGGTCATAGAAGTTTACCACTTCGGTGAAACCCACGAGCACAGGTATGGTGCTGACAAATCTAGAAACATAATCGGGGTGAAACCGGGATTCGAACACACAATAATAGGTTTCTGTCGTGCCCAAGGGACACAACTCAGCACAGCAAATCGTGGCGCCTTAGATGACTGGGCAACCCATGCCCCCAGAAGTTCTAAGGCCACAGGCCCATAGACATACAAAGTCATGATATTTGGTATATCAATGAATATATACAATTAACTTAATAAATATTACATGTGCAGCAGCATTTTAAGTTTTAGAGCGTGATATATATACTTAGATTGATCGTACGTTCACATGTTGAAGACATAAGATTTACCAAATTACTGAAAGATGGATTATAGTGAAATGATGCGCATCAAAATAGCGAGTTCGTAATTCTGAATATTATTGGCATACTAAAAAGAAATGGTATTCATTTTCGACATTGTCCAATCCAAAATTTACACAATGTTTCCATAAATGTTCTTCTTGGTTTTCACTTTTATGTCTCCCTGTCTCCATCCTGAGCTTATGACAACCAGAACAGAAATGAGTTGGAGATATCCTGTAAGGTTTACAGTCAATGTACTTTAAATATCCTCTTGGCTATTTGTTCTTGGGTTGGTCAGCAGTTTAGCTTCTAGTCATAGAGAACTGAATCATTCAACTTTTGATAAGACAATTTTGCTGTGTCTGAGTTTGAGTGAGTGAGTGAGTGAGTTAGGAGTGAATTAGGACTGAACACTGACCAGCATTTCAGTTCTAAATGCAGTTCCTGTGGCCATGGTGGCAGTCATCACTTGTGAAAAATACAATATTTGTCCTCATTCTCTTGAAATCACAGTAACAGAATAATTATTTATTGGTAGTAGTTCAGAAAAAAGTAAAACATTTTAGCAACGGTACAACATGAATTGTATATTAAAATTGGAATTTATTAATATTTTTTATTCCTATTTGGGGCTGAATATCTGTGTCAGAATGCCTAGATAAATCCTGGCATAACTACATACAGAGAATACAAGAGAATAATATTTACTGAACTACCTAAACTATCTGTTTCATGTCAGTGTCCTTTGATTTGATTTTATCATGAACTCTCAGGGTGGTTAGCCTTGCAGTTAAAATGGTTGACCATCATGCCGAAGGGCTGGGTTCCATGCCCCACATGGGTACAGTGTGTGAAGACCATATATGGTGTCCCCACAATGATAAAACCGAAATACAACCCAACACTCATAGTGAGTGAGTGAGTATGGTTTTACGCCGCTTTTAGCAATATTCCAGCAATATCACGGCGGGGGACACCGGAAATGGGCTTCACACATTGTACCCATGTCAGGAATCGAACCCGGGTCTTCGGCGTGACGAGCGAACGCTTTAACCACAAGGCTACCCAACCGTCCCCCAACACTCATAGACTCTCACATCAGTTATGTACATACACAATGTGAACAGGGATGTGGGGTGGCATAGTGGTAAAAGCGTTCGCTTGTCATACCGAAGAATCAGGTTCAATTACCAAATGGGTACAGTGTGTGAAGCCTATTTCTGGTGTTCCCCGCCGTGGTCAAAGACTCTCACATCAGTTATGTACATACATAATGTGAACAGGGCTGTGGGGTGGCCTAGTGGTTAAAGCGTTCGCTTGTCACATCGAAGGACCAGGTTCACTTCCCAAATGGTTACAGTGTGTGAAGCCTATTTCTGGAGTCCCCCGCGTGATCATAGACTCTCACATCAGTTATGCATTAAAAGCAGTGAGTAAAAGTTGTTCGACAAGCAGTCTGCACTGTCCAAGCTATATAATGGCTGCCTGTAAATAACCAGTGGTCGACTGCATGAGCAACAATGCAAGTAATCAGGGACCCTGACATTTTTTGACCCTATATCAGTTGACAGTTGACATACTGAGGATCTATTCTACTTAAATTTTACCCTGAGTAGGTGAATAAGAAAATGTAACTTTGTACATTGTTTGTCTTGATTTTTGTTTTTGTTTCTTTTTATGATGTCGGCCTGTAAATAATCGAGTTTGGACCAGACAATCTGTTTGTCTTGATTAACACACATTGATTTAAGTATTTCATAAAACTAAACATTTTGTAAATCTTGTGTTTTTCATCTTGAATAGTCACTGATCCACAAAGCAGATTGCTAGGCAAGTAAAATAACCAGATTGCTTGGTCAGACTCACTGACTTGGTTGATGCATGTCATTGTATCCTATTTGCGTAGATCGATGCTCATGATGTCAGTCACTGGACTGTCTGGACCCAGCTCGATTATTTACAGACCGCAGTCATATAACTGCAATACTGCTGAGTGTGGCATTTAAAAACAAACAAACAAATCATTCTCTCTTTATCAAATCATCTAAAAACGAAACACAATGACATTAAGTGATAAAACAAAATAAATGATTTGCAAATGAATTTAAAAATAGCTGGTCCTTGTTAATAAATCAATTATAGTTCAATTTCTTTAACCTTTTCAATGAAATTGTCAATAACTCATTCGAGCATAAAAATATTAGCGACACATGTTACACGTGATTACCATCTGAAAGAGACCGCCTCACTTCCACACCTACAGATTTAACAGCTGGCCAGACTGAGGGCCCCACAGGTGGTCCTTGTGTAAGAGTGAAATTATCCTACCCTACATTTTATCCTGGGGATGAAATTGTCTAGTGTCAGTATAATTCTCCCTAGTGAATTGGAACCCATACCAGTGTTTAATCCTGGATAATATTTAGGTAGGATATAATCCTTGCTTACACTTGCACCAGATACAAATTTTTCAGCAGCATCCTTTGATGATAAGTACACTAAAAAAATTCTTTTACTTTAATGTGGATGAAAAATATTTAATTTTTTTTATTCTCAAACATGAATAGATGTATTGAAAACTGAACAAGTAAGTAATAATGTTCTGCACGTTCTGTAGGTCTTACTGACTGATCAGTTTGTTGGTTTGTTTGATTGTTTGTTTGTTTAAAACCGCATATTCATGCTATATGATTGTGGTCTGTAAATAATCAAGTCTGGGCCAGACAATCCAGTGATTGACATCACGAGCATTGATCAACACAATTGGACTACTAGGACAATGCATCACCCAAGTCGGCAAGTCTAACCACCAGGGTGCTGTTGTACAAAGCGATCTTAGCGCTAAGGTGATCGTAACTCCCATACCTTAACAGGGACTTACGACGATCATAGCGCTAAGGTTGTTTTGTACAACGGCACCCTGATCCCTTAGTCATGTGTTACTCAAGCATGGGATGCTGAAGACCGATTGTCACCCGCATCTTCATGGGTTGATTGATCACTCTTCTCTATACACAACAAACTGTTTGTCAAGACAGCCTATAACAGCTTGATGGAGTTCAGTTGGGTTCAAAAAGAAGGTTACACTTAAAATTGTATTTTCTTTTATGATTGCTGTAATTTTCTACTGGGGAATGAGTGAGTATTGATTTACACCACTTTCAGCACTATTCCAGCAATATCACATCGGGGGACATCAGAAATGAGCTTCACACAGTTTACCCTGGGATTGAACTCAGACCTGCAGAGTGACAAGGGAATACCTCAACCACTGGGCTACCACACCGCCACTTTACTAAGGATGAAAACAGTCAAACAGTTTATCTAAATTGTATGAAGAACATATAAATTGACAGGCAAAATTTGAATTGTATAAAGAATCAAAATCTTTTAAAAGCTTATGGGGTCCATCATTAGTCCAATTAAACACATGCATCCATGAAGTTTCCAAAGAAAAAGAGCATTGCGGTGTGTCTAAAAAATCATGTGATCAACAAGAAGTCCCTAGTTCCTGCCTCTATGGTCTAGTGGTAGAATGTCTGCCTGGATGGCGGAAGCTCCGGGGTTCGATCCCCTGGATTATCATGCCAAAAGACGTTAAAAGATGGTACTTGTTGTTACCCTGTCTGGCGCTAAGGGTCTAAAACAACGACTGGTCGGCCCGGAGTCCGTATAGTGTGTCTTAGTGGGGTATTCATGTTAAACTGCGGCATGGTATCTCAGTTGGCTAGCACTATACACACACACGTCATTATATGAGCACAATAATCTTGGACGTGACCCCATTTCACCTCACCACACCTAGTTATGCTGGCTTTGTTTCTATTATTTTGTGACGATTTATATTACTTAAATGATGACCGTCAGGGCCTCACCTTCGCATCCTCACAGATCAATATCCTATTAGACTATATGCTGCAATGATACACGACCAGCCCTGCTTGCTAATGTTAATATCTGGATTACTCTACTGGGAATCAATTGCATTGTCACAGGAACAAATGCACAGAACACCATGGAAATTGATTGCAATTGTTACATATAGCAATGTGCTGAAACTGCAATTCTGTGTTGTGGAGAACAGCCTACTGTGATTGGCAATGAATTCAGAACCATAACTTAACAAGTGGGGAGGATTCAGATCACTGAGGACAGAAATTAAATAAAACATTCACTGTTGGAAAGACCAGTAAAGATCCAGGATAGAGTAGGTCTTCAGCAACCCATGCTTGCCATAAAAGGCGACTATGCTTGTCGTAAGAGGCGACTAACGGGATCAGGTAGTCAGGATCGCTGACTTGGTTGATCCATGTCATCGTATCCCAATTGCATGGACCAATGCTCATGATATTAATCACTGGATTGTCTTGTCCAGACTTTATTTACAAACAGCCGTCATATAGCTGGAATATTGGTGAGCGCGGCATTAAAGAAAGAAATAAAATATAAAAGTATGATCAATCACATTTAAATATGGATGTCATACAGTGCCATGACATCACAAAATGAGGTTACAATGCCATGACATCACAAAATGAGGTTACAATGCCATGACATAACAAAATGAGGTTACAATGCCATGGCATCACAAAATGAGGTTACAATGCCATGACATCACAAAATGAGGTTACAATGCCATGACATCACAAAATGAGGTTACAATGCCATGGCATCACAAAATGAGGTTACAATGCCATGACATAACAAAATGAGGTTACAATGCCATGGCATCACAAAATGAGGTTACAATGCCATGACATCACAAAATGAGGTTACAATGCCATGACATCACAAAATGAGGTTACAATGCCATGACATCATAGTTCGGATATGCAACAGTTTGAGTTGTGCATTGACCAGAACTGATACCAGCACAACATCTTTACTACAGGAGGAGAATCAGAAATAACCACAGGAAATGCACAAACAAAAGTGCTGCTGAAGATGGAAACTAGAATTTCCAGTTCTATTTTTTAAAATTATATATTAGAACATTGTTTAGGGACCGGTAATTTATTAGATGAGAAGAGCCATGAAACAATGTTACATGTATTTGGGAGGGCCATGAAACAATGTTACATGTATTTGGGAGGGCCATGAAACAATGTCACATGTATTAGGGAGGGGCCATGAAACAATGTCACATGTATTAGGGAGGGCCATGAAACAATGTTACATGTATTTGGGAGGGCCATGAAACAATGTCACATGTATTAGGGAGGGGCCATGAAACAATGTTACATGTATTTGGGAGGGCCATGAAACGATGTCACATGTATTAGGGAGGGGCCATGAAACAATGTCACATGTATTAGGGAGGAGCCATGAAACAATGTTACATGTATTAGGGAGGGGCCATGAATACAATGTTACATGTATTTGGGAGGGCCATGAAACAATGTTACATGTATTAGGGAGGGGCCATGAAACAATGTCACATGTATTAGGGAGGGCCATGAAACAATGTTACATGTATTAGGGAGGGGCCATGAAACAATGTCACATGTATCAGGGAGGGGCCATGAAACAATGTCACATGTATTAGGGAGGGGCCATGAAACAATGTCACATGTATTAGGGAGGGGCCATGAAACGATGTCACATGTATTTGGGAGGGCCATGAAACAATGTTACATGTATTTGGGAGGGCCATGAAACAATGTTACATGTATTTGGGAGGGCCATGAAACAATGTTACATGAATTTGGGAGGGCCATGAAACAATGTTACATTTATTTGGGAGGGCCATGAAACAATGTTACATGTATTAGGGAGGGGCCATGAAACAATGTTACATGTTTTAGGGAAGGGCCATGAAACAATGTCACATGTATTAGGGAGGAGCCATGAAACAATGTCACATGTATTAGGGAGGGGCCATGAAACAATGTTACATGTATTAGGGAGGGGCATGAAACAATGTCACATGTATTAGGGAGGGGCCATGAAACAATGTGACATTTATTTGGGAGGGCCATGAAACAATGTTACATGTATTTGGGAGGGCCATGAAACAATGTTACATGTATTTGGGAGGGCCATGAAACAATGTTACATTTATTTGGGAGGGCCATGAAACAATGTTACATGTATTTGGGAGGGCCATGAAACAATGTTACATGTATTTGGGAGGGCCATGAAACAATGTTACATGTATTTGGGAGGGCCATGAAACAATGTTACATTTATTTGGGAGGGCAATGAAACAATGTTACATGTATTAGGGAGGAGCCATGAAACAATGTTACATGTATTAGGGAGGGGCCATGAAACAATGTTACATGTATTAGGGAAGGCCATGAAACAATGTCACATGTATTAGGGAGGGGCCATGAAACAATGTCACATGTATTAGGGAGCGGCCATGAAACAATGTTACATGTATTAGGGAGGGGCCATGAAACAATGTTACATGTATTAGGGAAGGCCATGAAACAATGTTACATGAATTTGGGAGGGCCATGAAACGATGTCACATGTATTAGGGAGGGGCATGAAACAATGTCACATGTATTAGGGAGGGGCCATGAAACAATGTTACATTTATTTGGGAGGGCAATGAAACAATGTTACATGTATTAGGGAGGAGCCATGAAAAAGCGTTACATGTATTAGGGAGGAGCCATGAAAAAGTTTTACATGTATTAGGGAGGAGCCATTCAAACGTGTTACATGTATTAGGGAGGAGTCATTAAAAAGTGTTACATGTATTAGCGAGGGGCCATGACAAAGCGTTACATGTATTAGGGAGGGGCCATGAAACAATGTCACATGTATTAGGGAAGGGCCATGAAACAATGTTACATGTATTAGGGAGGGGCCATGAAACAATGACACATGTATTAGGGAGGGGCCATGAAACAATGTCACATGTATTAGAGGGGGCCATGAAACAATGTGACATGTATTAGAGAGGAGCCATGAAACCATGTCACATGTATTAGGGAGCTCGAGGGGCCATGAAACAATGTCACATGTATTAGGGAGGGGCCATTAAAAAATGTCACATGTATTAGGGAGGAGCCATGAAACAATGTCACATGTATTAGGGAGGGGCCATGAAACAATGTCACATGTATTAGGGAGGGGCCATGAAACAATGTCACATGTATTAGGGAGGGGCCATGAAACAATGTCACATGTATCAGGGAGGGGCCATGAAACAATGTCACATGTATTAGGGAGGGGCCATGAAACAATGTCACATGTATTAGGGAGGGGCCATGAAACGATGTCACATGTATTAGGGAGGAGCCATGAAACAATGTCACATGTATTAGGGAGGGGTCATGAAACAATGTCACATGTATTAGGGAGGGGCCATGAAACAATGTCACATGTATTAGGGAGGGGCCATGAAACAATGTCACATGTATTAGGGAGGGGCCATGAAACAATGTCACATGTATTAGGGAGGAGCCATGAAACAATGTCACATGTATTAGGGAGGAGCCATTCAAAAGTGTTACATGTATTAGAGAGGAGCCATGAAAAAATGTTACATGTATTAGGGAGGGACAGAAATTAACATCCAGTCCTAAGTCCAATCTTGATAGATGACCAGTCTCTAATGATGTAATGTTCGATCTCCATAATGTCAGGAACTGTGGATGATAACACTATGTAATATTCAGTAATACGACTGCTCGTGATTGACAGAACAATGATAGATAGGGGTGTCATGATTCACCGATGTGTTGATGCATCGTGAATTTACATGGGACACTACAATACACAATACTCCTACCCATGTATCACTTGATGTTCTAATTCTGTACTGTTTTTCTAAATATAACCAAGACTGAGAACGGCCTGGGCTTCGTTCCACGAAGGGATTTTAGCCCTATGATTGTCATAAGTCAGTGCTAAAGTGAGGGAGTTACAATCATCTTAGCGCTAAGACTGCTTTGTGGAACAGGGCCCTGGGCTAGCTTCACCATACCCCCTGTGACCTAACTCAATTCTTAATCTAATTGCAGCAGATAAAGCAAGCCTAGATTAACCAATCATCTGAATAAAACACAAACTGATTAATAACATGACCTGAGTTCTTGCAAGGGTGCTTGGAACATGGGAATTTGAAGCAAACACATTCTGTATAGTATCCTGTCTCAAGTATCGCAACATGTATCGATACTAGGCAATTGTGACACCCTATGGGAGATCTGTGAAATCAGACACAGTTCTGTCAATAACAGTCTTGGTACTTACTTGAGCTTTTGCAGCTTTCCATCGATCAAATCCTGACCGAAGTAGTATAGCGAAGTCTCCAATCTCATGTGGAATTTCATGTAAGAGTATTGCTACAGTTGTCATGAACCCAACCTGGCAAAATATGGAGAACATGAAAACATGAAACTTGGTTAACTTCTTTATTATTTCTTCAAAATTTATTTTAACAGTATTTCTGTCTTTGTTTCTTTATGGTTTATCGCTGCGCTCAGCAATGTTCCAGCTATATGATGGAAGACTGTAAATAATCTAATCTAGACCAGACAATCCAGTAGTTGACATCATGAGCAGCTGTCAACATAATTGGGATACGATGACATGCATCAACCAAGTCAGCAAGTCTGACCACCCGATCCCATGAGTCACCTCTTAGGACAAGCATAGTCACCTTTTACGGCAGGCATGAGTTGCTGAAGACATAGGTTTGTCCAACCAAAATATAACTCCATAATTCAAGCCTATTTCAGCAAGGGTGGAAGCTTGACTTTTATAGTCAGTTAACTCCCTTGCCTCAGGAAGATGAGGTTGCTTGGGACCTACCAGTATTCTAACCCAGAATCCCACCGGTCAATTCCTGTTAAAGCATGGCCCCCTTCAGGTGACTACAAGTCTGCAGTAATACCTGACAGAGCTCCAGATAAGCTGCGTATCTGCGTGAAATACGCATCAGAAATGCAGAAATACGCAGTAAAATATAACCTAAGCGTATCAAATACGCAACGAACATTACAGATACACTACAAAAATATAACTTGTGCGTATCATCAAAATATTGTGAAGTAACCCTGCGTATTCGATTAGCAAATCAGCAACTTATTTTGAAATTATAAACGGGCAATCCGTCAACCTTGCCAACCTCCACGATGACAGTCATATCATGATCATTTGCCATCACACTTTCTTGTGGAAGTATCGTGGTATTTTTGAGTCCTATAAAGCTCTCGAACCCACACGACACCAGTTTGCAGGGACTAGATGAATAGTGTTTTTACATATTTAACTTAAATACCCACATGTGTAAAAACTAGTGGGTAACAGAAATTTGAATACGCAGATAGAATTACTGATACCCAATGATTTTAAAATGCATGGGTAAAATACCCACAACACCAACAGCTTATCTGGAGCTCTGCCTGACAAAAGTATGCACTTGGGGTGTAATGACTGTCAATGCATTTCAGTTGTCTATGGGCCATTGGCAAGACACCAATGATGAAGTTGAAATATCTACTGTACATGACCATAGATAAGCAGATCTCATAGCTAAGCAGAGGTATTAACTTGACCCTTGAAATCTATATGAACATGATGTGTCCATATATAAGCCAGGAAGTGAAAGGCAACAACAGACTGCCAAGTCGGACCTCAAGACCACTGGCAGATATTCAAGAATATATGATGAAAAATGTGGTGGGTATATTGAATAAGTCAATAAATTTCTAATAAAGATTTAACAAACCAGTCATCCACTCTCCTAATGTGGGAGACTGTTTCTGTTGTCTTTTTTCAACCTCATAATGATAGTTATGTTGCCATCGGTATTGATGACATTGATAGAAGTATGCAAAATAAGTACAAAAGACCTGTATTACCACCACCCATAGTTCAAACTTTATCATACTCTTTTAGTCAGAACATATTCATAAGTTTGCATCTACACCTGAAAATAATTAGAGCTAATTAAATCTCAAACAAGTTCAACATGTGCCTTATGGGAAGGCAAGGATGCTCAGAATTCTAGCTCAATGGTACAAATTTCTGTGGTAGTTACTTCTAGTGTGACCATGAGCACAACCAGCCAAGCAGGTATGTTCAGACCTCTACGCCCCAAACCATGAACACCTACCTTTGTGCTGACGATGAAGCTGCCTGACACGGCCAGCCAAGCAGGTATGTTCTGACCTCTACACCCCCACCATGAACACCTACCTTTGTGCTGACGATAAAGCTGCCCGACACAGCCAGCCAAGCAGGTATGTTCTGACCTCTACGCCCCCACCATGAACACCTACCTTTGTGCTGACGATAAAGCTGCCTGACACGGCCAGCCAAGCAGGTATGTTCTGACCTCTACGCCCCCACCATGAACACCTACCTTTGTGCTGACGATAAAGCTGCCTGAAACCGCTAGTCCATGGGTAAAGTTGTCTATACAGTTGGCCATCAAGTTCAAATAACCGCTGACCTGAAACAGATGTTGTTGTGCAGAATACAGTGGTATGCAGTAATCAGTGAGGTCTCAGTTTGTCTCATGATGCCTGAAAGTATCTAAATAATGTTGTGATTGAGTTTTGGAAACTTATGTGATATCCCCTGGAACACATCAACATCATTATCCTCCTCCTCCTCCTCCTTCTCCTCCTCATCTTCATCGTCACTATCAGTAGTTTCAAATGATCAAACTTACGTGCTAATATCATCATCATCATCATCATCATCAGTGGTTTCAAATTATCAAACTGATTTCTGACTATCAATAGATTATCATTATTAAATATCTGCAAACGTACATCAGTTTCTAATTATCAAACTCACATGCTAATGCTTTAAAGGGCAAGTAAAAAGCAAAAATAATTTGCGTTTTTGTTGTGAATATCAATTTAACTAGATACATTTAGTAAATTCTGGGCAAGAAACTTTCATTTTATTTGTAGAAAGTATTTAAATGTCCAAGTAAAATGGCTAAAATCACACGCTCCGTAATTGGCTTCCAAAACAAAATCCGCAAAGTTGCTACATATGTTGACTTTACTTGACTTTTAAAAGAAAATTGGTAGTACTTCATTGTCATCATCACCATAATCATCATCATCATGATTATCAACAGATTATCATTATTAAATATCTGCAAATGTACATCTTGAATCCATTAAATCCAAACAAATGCATGCTTCTATATCCTAAACAGCATAGCTATCATGTCACATGCATGCAGGACTCTCCTTGACTTTTCATACCTGTCAAACTCTCAGTAAGTTTACGATAACTTGTCACTGCATTATAGAGTGACTCAGACACGGACACTAGTGACTAGTTTGCTTGTCTGAGAATAGTAAAATCTGGAAAGAGTAGATTATGGTGGACAAATATCTTTCGCATACAGCGGTCCTGATTATTGGGATGTTACCAATAGTTTTTTATATTTTTGTTAAGGCCACACTCAGCAATATTCTAGCTCTATGTCAGGGGGGGTGGGGTGGTTTGGGTAGCCTAGTGGTTAAAGCGTCTGTAAGTCACGCCGAAGACCGGGGTTCGATTCCCAACATGGGTACAATGTGTGAAGCCCTTTTCTGGTGTCCCCTGCCATGATATTGATGGAATATTGCTAAAAACGGCGTAAAACCATATTCACTCACTCACTCACTCACTATATGTCAGCGGCCTGTAAATGATCATGTTTGGACGACACTATCCAGGTCTGTATAGTAATAATCGTGTCTGGACCAGACAATCCAGTGAATGACAACATGAGCATCGATCCACGCAATTGGGATCAATGACATGCATCAACCAAGTCAGCGGGCCTGACCACCCGATCCCGTTAGTCGCCTCTTACGACAAGCAGGTACCCATGTGAAACTTTGGCATGGTATCTCAGTTGACATACAATGGCATAAGTTCAGACAAGTACAGGCAGAAACACACACACACACAATACAAATATATATATTAGGCAATAATCTTGAACATGATGTTAAACCCTATTTCAACTCACCTAGTCTGATATGTGATGTGCAATAATTGCCTACTTCTACCTCTTAAGATATGTGTAGGATTAAGCATGTCCGAGGGTTCTCATGGTATTTAAAACCCGCTTCTGCAGAATAAAACTGAGGGGTGTTCATGAGGGGTTTCATCCCAAGGATAAGGGTTTTAAGTATCATAAAAACCTGAGGTTAAGTGTTTTATCTAACTTATAAACTAAAAAAAGAAACCTAAAACAACATTTATCAACATTTTTATGTTACAGCGTACTTTCGAGGAACCTAAGGAAACGGGCGTAAAATATCTGTTGCCGGCGCCAGTTCTTGAAAAGACATTCTTAAAAACATTATGTCTTATCAGCGCCTCGGTAGCCTAGTGGTACACTCACTGGGCTACAGATAAGAAAGTTGCGCGTTCGATTCCTCGGGAATATAAAGAACACTTTTGTCATTTGATATTACATTTCATTATATTGTATAAACTAAATGTCTCGCCAGAAACATTCACATGTAACAATCTAAAAGGTAATTGTATTAATAAAGTCCCCGGGATATTATAACATCCTGTTTTAGAGATCTAGGCCTTTCTCACCTTTATATGGTCTTTGCCTGAACTAGTTTCAGGAGTATTTTTCTGCTGAGTATCTGGTAAAGAGTCTTTGTGCATAACTTTTTTATTATTCACAGCCTCAGATGTTTTCTTGTGATTTTTATGTCTCTTCTTCTTGTGGCTATTTTCACTCTGTCTGTTCACAGGCGCAACCACAGGACTAATCTTTTCATCACAAGTGTCTTCCATCTGAAACATGGTAACAGAATATACGATTGCTGTTGCTGTTTCGTTGTTGAACGCCACACTTGGCAACATTCAATCCAAAAGGCTACAGGCTTAAATAATGAGAGATAATAATCTTGACCGTACAAATTTGACCCCTTCTGTGGTCTAGTGGCAGAGCATCTGCCCAGAGAGCGGGAGTCCGGGGTTCGATCCCCGGCCGCATCATACCAACAGACATTCAAAGATGGTACTTATTGTTACCCTGTCTGGCGCTCGGCATTAAGGGGCTAAAACAAGGACTGGTCGGCTCGGAGTCAGTATACTGTGTCTGAGTGGGGTATTCATATTAAACCTGGCATGGTATCTCAGTGGGCTGTAATTCGGCATCAGTCCAGACTCGTACAAGCAGCCATGAACACACACATGTGCATGCATGTCGTTATATAAGTGTAATAATCTTGAACACAACGTAAAACCCCATTTCACCTCACCTCACCGTACAAATCTTTGATTTTCCTTGGTCAAAGTGCTTTCAATTTGGGCCAGTACAATTTGCTATCTGGCTATGGAGAGATAACCATTATCAGAATATATTATTCCTGGAACAAAATAGCTTCAGATTCTTTTCTTCTGAAAATTGCATGAAAAGTCATGTGGTTTATTATTTTGTGTATTTCTTGACTTAATCAACAGGAGATCATTGTGTCAACAGTTCATGGCTATTTCTAGCTTAGTTTATGAGACAATTACATGTGACAATCTCAGTCTCTGCATATATAAATAGGCCTAGCATATCAGAAAATAGCAGTTATCTACGCAATTGGGATCAATGACATGCATCAACCAAGTCAGCGAGCCTGACCACCCGATGCTGTTGCATCAACCAACCCATTAGTCGCCTCTTACGACAAAAACAGGTTGCTGAAGACCAATTGTAACCTGGATGTTCGCTGGGTTTTCAAATTATATATTTTCAACAAAATTGGAAAATCAAACAACTTCAATGAAATCAGTTTGGATTATTAATGAAGCTCTGACAATGATACCAGAAGCCATCCCCACTTGGGCTGACACCACTGAGAGATTAATGTGTGAGTGAGTACGGTTTTAAGCCGCTTTTAGCAATATTCCAGCAATATCATGGCGGGGGACACCAGAAATGGGCTTCACACATTGTACCCATGTCAGGAATCGAACCCGGGTCTTCGGCATGAAGAGCAAACGCTTTAACCACTAGGCTACCCGACCGCCCCATTAAGAGATTAGCCTGGCTGAGGGCATGACAATAGTCTAATGGCTGTCTCAGGGAAGGTGGATATGTGGCATGCCAGAAATAGATAGCACAGGATTAGAGATTACATGCAAATCTACTCTAGATAATGTTTGTTCTTATAAGTGACTATCACAGATTCATATCTGATATCCATGAGATCACCAGGGGTGTGACTAATGATGTGCCAGGGTGCAGCATGGGAATACGCCATGTAGGTATCAGTTCAGATTAGGTTTATCGGCTTCTGTGATAGGGTATCCATCTGCTGTTTCATTGGAAGCAGAAATTCTTTGTACTTCAAAAATTTAAGTGAAAAAAGGCCTCATTTGTTACCATGGCTACAGGTTATCACTTTCATACATTCCCTTACAAACTGTTAGGAAAGGGCACTGGTTCTTCATCCTTAACCAAGATTTTCATTACCATCCTCAAGGTTTGGTTGTTTGTTTGTTTGTTTGTTTGTTTGTTTGTTTAATGCCTGCTGGTCTTATGTCTCAGCAGTGTCAGGCAAAGTGTTGATGATTTTCGGTTTTTCATGGTACAAGATTAAAAAGTATGCACATTAACATTTAAATTTAAATCTAAAAGCGAACCCCAACAAACAACCATTAAGTACATATTTTGATTCCAATATAATGTTGCATAAGATTCAACAAGGGAGGGGCAAGTGGGAACCAGTCGTCTCAGGCATCAAATTCGATGCTCAGAATTGTATCCAATGGGGCTGCCAGAAACCAAACTTGTGGGTTCTAATCCTGGTTCACCCTGATTATGTTTTTAGATTTGTCAGCACCGTACCCGTTCTCGTGGGTTTCACCAAAGTGGTGAACGTCTGAGACCTGGATCACTTCAGACTTTCCACACTGTGATATATTCAACACTAATGCTGAACACTAATGCTAATCCCAACTCCCTCACTGAAACAATAGTTACTCACGGAACACATTATTTGGGAGTGCATAACCATGAAAACCAGCAGAAAGCAACCAAACTATGGAATATGTACACACAAATGGAAACAGACTTGTTTTACCGGACCCTGGCACAAAACTATTTAGATACAAGTATCAAAATAAGATCATGCGTACACTGAAGATGACTGAAGCATAATCTTTACTCAAACATACACAAATCAAAAGGAATGTGTGCATCGTCAGAAAAAAATGCGACATGAGCGACTTGTAGTGTAACCACTGAGCTATAGTGATGTTTTGTCATTAAACAATATACTTTACTGTTACTGGTTCCATAAAAAATATGGCAGGTTAAATTTAATCATTACGATGCATACTTATGGTGATTGTGTCTTGTTTGTAATTTGTGTGTCTGTTTCTGTTTAAAGTGTGTACATATTCCATAGTTTGACTGCTCTCTGCTGGTTGTCATTGGTAACTTTGTTATGAGTTCAATCAGTACGATGCCAAGGTGAGCTTCAATCAACTTTTGGTTTCCTCTGTTGTATCAAAATTAGACACATACATATAATTTCTTGTAATCTTAATTAGTGCATCTTGATAAATATCATTTGAGGATTTAAGAGTTTTTTTTCAGTCCAGTAGCTTCAAATAGATCAGTTTTGATTATCATGGTAAAAACAGACCGTCTGGAAAAATGATGCTTTGACTGAAATTTCACTGTGGGTTTTACTTACTGGATTAAACTCATTTTCATCTCCAAATGTCTTCTCTAGAATCAGGAACAGTAGCAAACCATTGATGATCCAAAGGCCGATCCTTGAATGGCTATTGTGGACATCATCTGAATTGTAAAGATTATATTTGTAATTTAATCTGATTCATCAATTCTAAAAATAATGTTTATATATGTCCACAAACTGTGCAATCGTAGCTGTATCCTATTGACCAGAAAAACCAGTGGTTGATCGTATGAGCACATGTACATACCATTGTGGTACAATGGCACACAATCTGAAGCAGGTTATACCTTGTAACCATCTGATGGTCACAGGTGGATTCAGAGGGGGAGGGGGGTCCCAAGGGGGTACTCGACACCCCTTTTTAAAAATGTTGTAGGCAGAAAAATTGACTGAGAGAGGATTTCGATATTTTGGACCTTAAACAGATCTTAAACAAGACAGGTTTTTTTGGGCCTTGCTCTTCTATCCCGAACACCTCACAATGGTTGCCTCAGGACACATCCATCTGTGCTTACAATATCATGAACATTTCAGAACTCTAAATACTTCAAAGAAAAACCCCAATAAAATACATTGATAAATATAAATATTGTTTGTCGTTTAAAGCCACTAAATGATGGTGGTCTGTAAAAAAACTTTATCAGACATTTATTCAATATACCACTAATTTTAATAGAGATTATTTTAATAAGCATGGTCAAACTTATAAAAAAAATTAATTGTTACGCAAAAACTGTAAATGTTTCAGAAAAATGGTATACAAAATTATAATGTATAATCACAAATTATACACAAAAAGCTGTTTGTTCAGATTTATCCTGAAAACTATCTCATTCTACATCATGAACAACAGAAATTCCTCATCATAGACCTTCAACATCCTATTTCTATTGGTAATATGACTACTCTCAATCAGCACTAACTGACAGCCAAATTATCCCATGCTAAAATTGCTTCATCTTTCAGCAGCAATGTTTACCCACAGCTGCACATGCACACGCTGATTGTCCACAGATAAAGATCTACCTTTATCGAGGTAAGCCCACGCTTCCGGCAGCAGATGAAGGAAAACATCACCCAGCAATCCGCCCACTGCAAAACTTAACATCAACTTGAGGCGAGATGCAGCCGCTGGGAAAAATAAACAGACAAGATAAACATGATGTAAATATCATAAATATGACATAGAGAGGCTAAGTGCACTCCTGTTCATGGTCAGGTCGAACAGTAAGTTTGTAGGAAATATGAAACATCAATGCAAAAGAATAACCAGTCTAGATAAGAAACACTGATATCATTTGACAAAAACGGTAAAATAGCTGTTGGAATGGATCACTGCAAAACAGAGATGACACCAGGTGCTCGTGAAAATGGTAAGCATGTCCTGGAACACGCAGAGATTATCTTATCTTATACTGTAGTTCACTCCAGGTCAAGGTATGATAATTAAAGGGGAAGTGTACACGCAAAAATCACTTTCTTTCTTTTTCTGAACAAAACGCAATTTTAGAATTAATTAGTATCTGTGTTTGAAAATATACACTCATTTTTTTCACAGTGAAAGTAGGAAGCTCACAATAGTGTGAAAATGATATGCCGTTATGAGGCCTTCGTTTTTCGAGCTAAACAGGCCTGAGTTATCCCCCTTAGATTATGACGTAATTGGTGCCAATTCAACTGGGTCCCTGTCTATTCGCAACGCAAAAGATATCAAGTACCAGTTTGCGGTAAAACAACATGGCCTACGACACACTCCGGCGCAGTGGTGACTCAGCATAACACTATGCTGGCTGGCATCTGAGACGCTAGAATCACACACCTAGACCTACACCACGTGAAGCGGCTCTAACAAAGCATGATGACGTCATAATGTTTATCAATTGGCACCAATGACGTCATATTGCAAGGGGCATAAGCCATGGTGTTTTTGTTGTGGAAATAGAACACTTGGTAAATGTGAAAAATATAAATCGTTTTAATGCGAAAAATATGTTAATTAATTGTGATATTTTTATATTTTTGTCTATGACACTTCTAGGTTAACACTTTTAATGTGGAAAAAGTACAAGAAAAATAGGTTCATTTCCATGTGAACTTGCCATTTAACACAAAAGTGGGTGATACCTTATTCGACGTAATAAGCACCCCGCTCTAATAAGCGCCCACGGCGATATTTGCTAATTAATTGACAAGTGAACAATCCCAATTAGCACCCCTTCCGATTGATCAGATGTACACAAGACTTATTTATTCGTGTATAATACACACCTGTATGTTATATGCACCATTAATAATGGGCAATTAATTTCCGGAATAATATATCTGTCGTATATAAACATTTCAGTCTTTCAGCATAAACCACAAAATTTGTTTTTCAACTCTTTTTTTCACCAAAATAATATTCTAATAAGAGCCCCCTATTTCTAATTTTGAGAGCGCCCTGGGTGCTTATTACGTTGAATACGGTATTTGACTAAGCAGCAGACTGATGGCTGATTGGACAGCTGTAATTGTGCCAGACCAATTGGTTGTGACAGGCTACCTGTTAAACTGATGATGATCTTCATTAATGATCACAAGAAGTATAGGACAACCATTTATATCGAGGCATGATAACCTGTAGCCTACATCAAGAAAGAAAGCTGATTTAATGGGTCTATCATCAAGTGTATCAGAGATGCCACACCCACATAATGGTAATTAGGAATATCTGAATCCTGTCTATTGCACTGCTCTATGCAAAAATAACAAATATGTGTGAGTGAGTGAGTATGGTCGGGAATCGAACCCGGGTCTTCGGCATGACAAGCAAACACTTTAACCACTAGGCTTAGTAACCCTACCACCCACAAATATATGAGAGAGTTGCTGTGAAATGTGTGTGTGTGTGCGTGTGCGTGTGCGCGTGCGTGCGTGTGTGTGCGTGTGCATGTGCGTGCTGTCTGTCTGCTTGTACCACTCTGGACTATTGACAGCCAGTCCTTGTGTTATCCACTTTTAATAATGACGAGTGACAGGCAGGGTACCATCAAGTACCTTTTGGTATGACGCAGTTGGGGATTGAACCACAGACCTGCTCATCAGGCACTGTGATAATGCTCTATCCACTAGACCTCGGAGGCTGCGAGTCTCTTATGTCTTACTTCATTGAATATATATGTCAGTGAGTGAGAAAGTATGGCTATATGCTGCTTTTAGCAACATCCCAGCAATATCACGGCAGGGGACACCAGAAATGAGCTTATCCAAAAATGTACAATGAAAGATTTATGCATCATCAATTTCCAGCCTTGAAGCAGTGATCACAGTGATTACAAATATTAACAAATAAACGCCCAAAAAGCAATCTATGAATAAAACCTATTAAAAAAAAGCATGATTTTAAATAGAAACTTATTATGAAGAAGATTTACGAGACGTCTGTGGCAGCAGAATCAGCCATTAACCAGCGCCATATTTCAGACTGACTCATGAGTACTGTACAGTTTGGGTGTCCATATCCCACAGGTTGTCTCAGAATAGTGCAGTCAGCAGTTTACAAAGAGAGGATGAAACTCCCACACATTGCCACCTACATACCCCATCATATCAGTTATCTCCCTTTGAAACTATTTCTTCTCCACCAACAAACATATCACATACCTCCACACCTCTCTACCTCCCTTAGAGGTTACCGATATGTCACTAACCATCTTCCTGTGGCAAGGGAGTTAACTGACTGTAAAAGTTCAGTTTCCACTCTTGCCGAACTAGGCTGGAATTTCTGGGCTCGATTGTACAGACACCAGTGGCTATGATGAGTTTAATATGACCCTTCTATGTCCCTTCTATTGACCAAACAGATTCCACCTCTCATATCACTTGCATTTGCTTCTAATGGCAGCACTAAGTGTAGACGATCTGATCGACAAACAAAATCTATATTGTGATATAATGGGTCTTAGTAACTTCGGGAAGAGCATCAAATCACGTGAGCATCTTGATAAAAAATATGTTGATGGGACACATGCTTTGCAAATCATGCAATCGACAGAAACCTACATACAGTTTACGAACTGGATGTCGATTTCTTACGTGATTTTGATTGGGCTATGCATAGACTTGTTAGTCCAGCCAAAATATAACTCCTTAGAATTCCAGTGAAAACCTGATGTTTATAGTCAGTTAAATCTGTTGCCTCTGGAAAATGGTCATCAATTGTTTCTAATTCAACTTCACCTGGGTTATCTTCGTCAGCACTCAGAAGGAAGCCATATTGAAACTTGTTTAATAACATGACAACCACGTGACATTGAAACAAGGTAACAGCAGTGATAGCTTCTTGCCACCAATCAGATGTATGCCCAATGTACAAGAACAACAATCATGCTGTACCGATATTAGGAGAAATGGGATCTGGCTCAATTTGAAAAAGAAAAAAAGGAAAAGAAAGAAAGAAGATTTATTAAGACATGAAACTCTTATGGATAACAACTTCTTTATTATAAGTTCCATAATTTCACATTCCTCCAACTTCTAAATGCCTATCTAAGGCACATACAGCAAGCATGAAATACTCATATTCCCTGCCAATATGACATGTCAGGTTGTGTGCAAGGCATTTATTTAAGCTCCTGTGAACTATGTTAAATGGACCTTTTGTAAATGGCCTAATTGGAAGCACTAAAACAGTTATTACTGATTTTCTTTGCCATCTGCAATTTATGATAGAATACTATTGTATTTGTGATATGTCAAAGTCATTGCAATGGAAACTTGAAAAATAAATTTTACAAAATCCCAAACTATCAAAAGGCACCAGTTTACCACTAGACCTATCTATGTGCCAAGTTTTTTCAAGAAATATTGTACAGTTCAAGATCTGCTCCAGAAAGGAGCACTACCGCCATTTTCAGGCCAAGTCAAAGTGGTTGCCTTGGAAACTCAAAAAAAAATATAAAAAATCAAAAAAATTCCAAACTATCACAAGGCATCAGTTCATCACTAGACCTATCTAATAGTGCGAAGTTTGGTTAAGATATCTCTCATAGTTTTTGAGTTCTGCTCCGAAAACGAAACGTGATGGAAAAAGTGACAGAGGGATGGACGGAAGGACAGATGGACAGCACCCATTCCTACATCCCCCTTCCTGTTTGTGGTGGAGGATGAAAACCCAAACAGATGTACTATTTTACAATTATAAAAGGAAAAATACGCATGTCTCAGGGTTGAACTCAACGTATGTGCGTTTTAGGGAGACAAATACCGTACACAACAGGGCTCCTAAGGCTGTGGAAAGGGAAACATTTCTTGACTGTTCTACTGACCGGATTAGCAACATATTACAATGAAATCCTGGAATCGCTACTCTAGGGCAGGCTGAGGTGTTATGTAGGAAGTAGAGTACGCTGAGTGGACCCGACTGCATATCATTAATGATGAAAGAGGCGTGGACTGGCAAAGCTGAGCAAATACGGCAGGCATGACCTGCCCTTGTCGCAGCTGGCAGGGTTATATGACGCTGAGGTCGTGTATGGGAACACCTTACATACCTTAGACAAACCAAATGTCAGCAGACGGATCTCCTGGCTAGCCCTGGGATGTGTTACAGAAAATGGGTATTGGGTGACATGTAACATCATCCTGCAGATGTGTCTGTCTGGGTAACACTGGCACCTGTCTCTTCTGTTGGTTACAAATTGGGCCTTAAAGGGGGACTTGAAGGCTTGAAGTTTGTCTTGTCTCTTGTGTTGGTTATAGGGGCTATAAAAGTTGGAGGGGTCTCTTAAATAGGTTACAGGGCTTTAAGGGGGACTTGTCTCTGGACAGTGTAACAGTGGCTTGAAGTTTGTCTGGTCTCTTGTGTTGGTTATAGGGGCTTCAAGATGGACTGGTCTCATATTTTGGTGACTGTGCCTTAAAGGGGGACTTGTCTCTAGAATGAAAGTGACAGTGGCTTGAAGTTTGCCTTGTCTCTTGTGTTGGTTATAGGGGCTTAAAGATGGACTGGTCTCATATTTTGGTGACTGTGCCTTAAAGGGGGACTTGTCTCTAGAATGAAAGTGACAGTGGCTTGAAGTTTGCCTTGTCTCTTGTGTTGGTTATAGGGGCTTAAAGATGGACTGGTCTCATATTTTGGTGACTGTGCCTTA